ACACACACGCATGCACACATACAATGACGATCAAATCGTAACAGCCAACACCAAATAAGACATTTGGGTGCGTGCCTTGGCTTTAGGGTGATAATTCATTTCACGTTGTGTCCAGTAAGGGAACCAATTGCAAAAGTGCTTTCTTTTCTAGAACTACGATATTTCAAATGAAACATACAAAAAAAAACCTGCTTGTGCTAAATATGCCGATAAATAAAAGATTGTCAAACTAAATATTGTATCCAATAAAATAAGAAACAGGAACAAAAATATAGTACGGCAAAATCTCTTTTCTTTTTGAATAAATATTACATAACGTCTTAAATGCCACCTCAATATGTTCTCTTTTTGGGGAGTAAAATAATGTTTCCCTCAAAAAGTATTGATTAATTTGTAGTTTTTTGTTTTGTTTTGTTTTTTAGGACTGTGCCACTTAAATAATTTGTCTTCCTCGGATATAAACGAATGTATACAATTAAATAAAACATATTTATTCACATAAAGCTGTTTTAAGTCATTTTACGGCAGCGCAACACAAATCTGTTGTCTTAACAGTAAAATTTTCAATTAAAAGTTTACAGTTTGCCAGTTGAGTGTAATACCATAAAAACAATGCAGGAAAAAAAATATTCATACATACGTTCAACTAAATATTTATTTTATTAATAATTGAATAATTTTTTTCCCAAGAAAGTGCCACACCAATGTGTTTTGTATTCTTTTTACGGAAACAACCAATGCAGACAAGTTTCATCGTGTCAGTATTTAATGAAAAACGATGTACCCAACCCACCGCCGATTTAAGAATCTAGCTCATTTCCACAATCACTGCTTACTCTTTTAAAAGACACCACACCGGGTGTGTCATCCACTTTGTAAAAAATTGAGTGCCTCTCTCAAACAGATAAGCCCCTTTTCACCAAAGGGCAGTCAGCGTCATTGTGTCGCTGCGTAGACTCTTGTCGTTCATACGCGGACATAAAACAACAGCTAACTTGTCTGAGCCCATTTCAACTCTGTGCTAACCAGAACAGCAGACCCTATTGAGGCACGTAAACAGTCTCGAGAATGAATTCAAGTCTGGAAGATGACCTCAAGGTATGCGGTACGCTATTCAAGATGATCGTATGTTATACGGTGACAAATTCGGTCGTGTGTGTTATGTTGATGTTCCGGGAGAGCTTGCGATTAGCATAAATTGTAATACACGGCTAACATTGTTTTATATTGATCAAAAGAATGTGTTCTAGTCAAGGCCTCCTAGCAAATAGAGGCCCGCACTTGAGAAAATAAATACCCCCCTGTGGCTTAATTGCGGAAATGAGTTGTTATTATGTTGTCTGATGTCTTCATTTGAGGACGATGGCCGCAGTGCGAGCAGCATGGCGTGCGCCTGATAAATGTCGTCCTTGCACTCCTGCATGTTTTTTTTCGGCACCTTAAGTGTGAGAAACGAGTCTTTGGTTTGTATTTTTGAACATGTTGGGTTTTTTTCTTCTTCTTCTTCTTCACTCTGGAAAATACTGCCACGTGTTATTTTGCCTGAGAGGGGATCAAAATGCCTGTTGATGTCAACTAAGATGAAGAAGATAATACTGTAATTAAATTGTCAAAATTAAAACAAAAACTTGTTTGACATGATTTCTGGTATTTGTTCATTATGTAGTAATGTCTGTCCAATCGTCATTAGGGTCATGGATGAACTAGAGCTTCTCCCGTACTGCCTTTGGGTGAGAAGCGGGGTATACCGCCTCCACAGTACACGATTGTTGTCTGTGCATTATTGGACATGACGTTTGAAAGACCAAACTGAAGTATCTTTGCGCCGTTGACCTTGTTCCACTGGTAAGAATCTTTTAAAACTAGCGGCAATCACAATAGCAGAAGCTAGCAAGGCTCACCGCTACGGTCTTTCGCTACCAGCTTACTTCTCAGACCGGCGTAGATGTTTAAATACTGTGTTGCCTTGTTGACTGGACATTTTACTTTACGCGATTAGTCGATGAACCAGTTCAGCCGCTGACACAAAAACAAACTTCACACAGGAGCTAAGGCCTCTACAGCCAGACATGCTAACCATTGTTCTCACATGCTAGCCATTATAATGGTATCTCAAGTTAAATGCAATTCCAAAACAAAGTGTGAAAGCACACGACAAATTATCGAATATATCATATCGACGTGTAAATGCACAGTTACAGTACAATACTGCGTCACTGGGAATCTGTAAGAAAAGTACAGGCTATTAAATGTTGGTTGCCTCAGTCAAAATATCTAGAAACAACTCTCGGTAACGTGCAATACCTGAATATTTTTTCCTCCATGTTGTCCGGCGCAACACTCTGGCTGTTGGCCGTGTCAGGTGGCGTTTCAGCGAGTGCAGTTCGCCTTCATGTTGCATCTGCATCACCCGCCTCGGCTAACGCAGACTCACCTGGATCCAAGATGGCAGCATCGGACCACTTCCGATGCGTCCGCCTTTCAGATGGAGTGTTGGATGTAAAGATAGGATCCGGTCTTCAGACATGTGAACGCTACAAACTAGCAAACTTCAATTCAGTGAGGTCAGTAGCCCTTTTTAGAATGCCACCTGATTCACTCTTTTGCAATAACAGCCGCGTGAATCCAGTCATTGCCACCTTCGGATACGACGGGGACATCAGGTAAGAGGAAAAGTCTATTTCTGTTCTCAACAAAACTGGTTGATCAGAGTATTCTGTCCAAAAAGAAAGTTGAATGAAAAAAAAAGTGCCTGATGATCACGATAAACTAATATTTAAGCTCATAAGTAGCCTCACTTCCACTATTGATTTTTTTTTTCTGTCCTTCAGTGTCATGATGTAGTTATATACTGCAGCTACACGCTGATTCCCAGGTCCAGACATCTCGTGTTTAAGTGACAACTTCCAGGTTATGATTTCTGATTACAAAATTTAAACATTTGCTGAGATTTATTGGGTGGCTGAAACGAATTACGAGCATTTCCATTTATTTCAATGGGGAAAGATGATTTGAAATTTGAGAGTCCAAGTAGAAATGTATGAAACGCTTACAAGATATTCCTTTATTTATCCAAATGAAGCAAATGAGGGCAGGTTTGTTGGAAGTAAGAATGTGTTTTGTGCAATAAAACAAACACTTTTTTTCTCAATCAGCCATCTTTTCAGTTCACATTCGCCTGCAGCTCTTTGAGGTTGCAACCGGTGCAATCCAAGCGAGATAAATCCGATTTCCCACTTGTCTAGAATGCAGTATAAATACTGGACAACACACATGTAGTTGGAGGGAGCTCCAAAAAAAAAAAACGAATGAGCAAAACAACAAGAAAACAACATGAAACAAAACTTAATATAATGTCGACAACAAAAACACAGATCCTGACAAATGCAGTCTAAATGTGTTTATTTCCTGGAGGAAAAGAACGATTTAACTATTACAAAGTCATTCAAACATCGTGACCATAGACACATGACCAAGAACCACACTGCCGGTTTGGAGAGAGGGTGTGAGCGTCAGGAATGGCCCTTGGTGTTGCGGGTAATAAATTTCTTCAAATGTCTCCACCACGGTTGAAACACTTTGCCGTCATTGTTCAGGTCAGCCGCCTGTGGAGGACGTTGACAGAGTCAGGTAGAGAGGAGGAGGAGTCGTGGTTGGTGTTGGTGTTGATGGTGGTGGGGGTGGGGGTGGGGTGTTACTCCGCGAGGCCACGCGGAGGCGACGCCAGGCGGCCAAGTGTAGAGCAGCAGTGCACTTTGAGCAAGCCCGGCGTGCGCGCATCTTCAAGCCGCTTTTGTAACGCGTTACACCCTGCCTGGAAAACGGTAAGTACTTTTAACACCTTTTCGCTCCGATTTTCAAATGAAATATGATGATGTTGATTAGGCTGCATCAAGAGCATGGAGAATGTTGAGCTGATGTGTCACTTCCAGAGGACGACACTGTACTCCTGTTGTGTGGTAAAGTACAGATACAGATTCAGCCTCGTAAAAGTCCTGTACATCAAAAGGAGTTTTCAATTCCTCCCCCCAAATATGAATTTTTGTCATATTTGTTAATTTGACAAGTAAAATGAGCTGTGGAGGACAAAAAAATAAAAATCTCAACCTTCTTTAGCCTCCACCTTGTACCTCTAATTAGAATTACAAAATAGCAAAACAACCCATCGGAGACAGAATGAGTGTCAGTCGTTTGCGGTGTACTTGTGGGCACACCCCTCAATGCCTTGTTGCTCCATCGAGCTTCGGGAGGTTTGCTGAAACTATCGCTGAATATCCAACTTCAGTTATCAACGTTAAACATTCAAAGCCAAGTGTAGATTCCTGAAAAATCTGAGTTAGGAGCACAGTAGCCAAGTATTTGTACTCCATGACTTCTTACCACTGTCACTTGGTTGATTATTTGTATCTTAGAGCTGACAAAATCCTGGCAGATGCGTAATGGAAGGATCCCACGACCAGCAGGTGCCTCGCAGTCTCTCTAAAGTGAGTCCGTGTGTGAGCAAAAAGTCCCCAAACTTCATTTTCCCCGTCTCAGTGCACACTAGTGAATAATTATGACTACTCCTAACAACAAAAAGTCGTATATAAATGACTGTTTACATTTGAGCATGTTAAGGCTCGCCCAGTCATTTGTTCGTTAACACAATTGATTTGTGCATGTGTGTGTGGGTGTGTGCGTGTGTGCGTGCGTGCGTGCAGAAGACAGTGGAAAAGAGGAGAGTTTGTGAGAGGTCATCAAACGACAGAAGGAGAAAGTTGATTAAGTCCAACCTGGCCGTTGACACCGAAGGTAATTTCACGGCCGCTAAACATTTTAGCCACAATCCAATTATTGTTGTTGTTTTGGTGTTGGGTTTTTTTTTTTTTTTGGGTGAATCTTCATCACAATGGCCTTTGTGATGAACGTATACACACACATGCACACAAAAAGCTCTATTGTCTTGGATCGTAGTCCAAATCCAAAAGAGCAAGTTTGTGTTGGGGGGTCCAAATGGACTTGTAAAGAATATCTTAGGTCCAAGCTTTGTGTTTGTGAGCCAAAGTTTGAGGTCTGGGAAAGCTTCAGCTAAGTTGTCGCTCAGGAGAAGCTGGAAAAAAAATTGAGCCGAATAGAGACACTGCGATGCCCTGGCATGTGGGCAAGGAGCGCCACAGTCACTGATGGACTTTCAGCCGTTTATTGAACAGCACAAACAGTCAAAACACACAAATGCACAATGAAAACACTTGCAAGGAGCATGCAGCAGACACTCCTACTGGAAAAACTGCCCGACTCCCGCTTCCGATGTCAATCACTCGGCCACGCCCTTTAGAGGCATATAGCCAATACACACATTTTCCAGTGTGTGTGACTTTTGGCTTCATTCCACTTCAGTAAAAACAGCTTTTTTTAAATATAGTTTTATTATATTGTTATGATGAAACACAGTGAATGTTCTTAAATGTAGCGTGTCAACAATCCCTGAGATGAAAATTGCAATGGTTGTTGACTGGGTGTGGATTAAGAGCTTGGTCGTGGAACGGATTGAAGCTGTAACTCAAGGTACGACTGTACCTCTGATTGTTGACATCAGGGTTAGAATCATTTTGAGATTTTTCATTACAGTTAGTTTTTCTTTCATTTTGGCTTTGTATTTCTAATTAATTTTGTTTTAATGGGTTTTTAGAGCAAGTTTGTGAGTTTTTATCTTTTTGAAAACAATATGTTTTGGTTAAGTTTTTTTTTAGTTTTAGTCTTAGGTTTTTTTTTTTTTTTTTAATCCATGGAGTATTTGTTGAGTGCAAGATAAAACTTTTTTTTAAAAAGGAGGTCAATAATTATTATGAAATTAAGTAAAATAACTAGTCCAAACCTCGGATACGCAGCATTACCCAAATATATACATTTAAAATGAACCTTGAAAACTCGCGTATGATTTTAATGAACAAACATGAAAACAAAGCACATTTTCGCAAAAATTACAATTGGTTTTAGTTTGCTTTATAACCGAAAGATGTAGTTTCAGTTTCATGAACTATAATCACCTTGTTGGGTGCGTCTTAAAATTGGACCTCATCTTTTTGGTACTCCTTCGCAGAACTTTTCCAGGACCTGAGTCGACTGCAGGAGACTTGGCTGGCAGAAGGTGAGCATCACAATGTGGAGTAGGGGTGAGGTTGTCATTTGGCAAATAAGAATTTCTCAGAAATGTACTTTAATATACAGTTGGGCCTTGAGATAAGTGATCTGACTTGCTCGTTTTTGGAGCTTTTTTTTGGAGCTGTCATTCAGTTGATTTTTTTTTTTCTTTCAATGTGCACAAAATAGCTTTTTTTTTTATTTTTTAAATTTACAAAAATCAGTATTCAAAACAGCCGGCCCGGTTGTCCAATTGTTAGCACGTCGCCCTCACAGTGCAGAGGTACCGGGTTCAATTCTGGCTCCGACCTCCCTGTGTGGAGTTTGCATGTTCTACCCGGGCCTGTGTGGGTTTTCTCCGGGTACTCCGGTTTCCTTCCACATTCCAAAAACATTCATGGCAGGCTGATTGAACACTCCAAATTATCCCGAGGTGTGAGTATGAGCGTGGATGGTTGTTCGTCCGTGTGTGCCCTGCGATTGGCTGGCAACCGGTTCAGGGTGTACCTCACCTATTGCCCAAAGGCAGCTGGGTTAGGCTCAAGCATCCCCCGTGAACCTCGTAAGGATAAAGCGGATCGGATGGCTGGATGGACAGGATTCAAAACACTGTTTTGGTTAAAAAAAAAAAAAAAAAGTGGGGGGGTGGGAATGAATAATATCCGCAATATCTTTTGACTTTTCAAAGTTGATCGACTGCCGCATCCTTTCCTAACGTACATCGAAGAACATTCAACTTGTACCGCGGTGTGCAGGGAGGGGGCAGATTTTGCGTTTCCACAGTCGGTCCAATTATGAAGAGGCACCTGCATACATTGTGGGGGTCTTGGGTTGGGAGTGGGGGGGGGGGGCTCGCGGTAGAGCGAGGAGGTTCGAGCTGTGGGAGTGTCATCACAAATTAGCTGTGCGACGCTCACTGTCTGCTGGGCTTTTTTTGGCGGGAGCTGCTGCGCCGCCTCCCTCCCTCCCTGCCTCCCTCCCTCTCTCTCTCTCTCTCTCTCTCTCTCTCTCTCTCTCTCTCTCTCTCTCTTGCTCTCTCTTCCACTCCTCCATCATCTCCAGCTGCATCATCACCTTGTCTGCTTCAATTCCTCCTGCTGCTCCTCCTCACATGCACAAAAAGACAAGAATGGATCTATCCGCTTTTTCCTGACACGCTCAACAGAAAAAGAGACTTTTTTTTGGCGGGGAGAGCTTCTTGTGTCTTAAAGTTTTCTTTCGCAGACTTTTCGTTTCTTTTTTTTTTTTTTTTTTTTTTTTTTTTTGTCTTTGTTTTTTGAGATGTTTTTCCTCCCATGGCAAGACTGGCTCACTGTGCTCTAAGTGAGACGGGATGCTTCAGGATTTAAGCGCCAGCGTCCTCTTTCCGCCGTGTTTGCAGCACACAACTTTTGGTTAGTGCAACTCTCGTCGAGATGTGTTCAAAGTTTGCTTTGAATGATCGAATTGAAGCGTTTCTCTGGTTTAATCTGGTTGAGTGGGGATCGCAGCGTGTGTTGAGATGGCTTTTCGTTTGGTTTGAGCTTGACGCTGAAACATAGTCAAGCCTGATTTAGTTGTTTAGAAGTTCAGAAATTACGGAGGGGGATTGGTGCGGGTGTGGAAAAAAAAAATTGGCGAGAAGTTATCACCTGAAATATTCTTGTCTGTGTTGAATTTGAAAAGTTTGCGTTTATGATAGAATTTGAAGACAAAAGTAACGAAACGTATTTGCGAAAGGGCAGTGTGAATTTTTGCACCAAGAAATTGTAAATGGAAAAATAAATATGCAAATTCATGGACGTTTCAAGGGACATTTTTGAATACACGTAAATCCTTTTTAAAAAATCAGTTTCCGCTTATTTGTCTCAATTAGTTACCGCTCTTGTGTGAATATTGTTTTTTTTTTAAAGCCACATTTATGGTTTTTCAAATGCAAACACAAATAAGCCAATTTGTTGAAATTTAAAGTGAATTTTTGAATGCATCTGGAAAGTGTTTAAAAAATAAAATAGGCAACTTATTTCTAGAGTGTTACAACAATTTGCTGAATTGTACTAATAAATGTGGTTTTCTTCAATGAAAAATAAATTTGCATTTGAATGCATGTGAAGCCTTAAAAAAAATTATAAATCAAAAATAAAAAAGAACTGCTTGAATATTTGTCACAAAATGGCTGCACCATCACAATTCTATATTTTAAATCTACATTTCTGACACAATATTCGTTGTTGAGATGAATACAAGCAAGAAATGTCTTTTTGTTTCTTTTATAGTTCATTCTTCCAATAGGTGAGCGTGTGCCTTTCAACCAAAAAAAAAATAAATCACCTCTGGAGCCATCACTCTACTTTTAACCATCTTCAAAATGCTTCCTTTTACTTTTTGTTAAAAAGAAATGAGATTTGACAGCGGATGAAAACGTTGAATATCGAATGAATATTTCATCGCAGCTCAGGATGACACTTCCGACGACAACGGGCGGCTCTTAACTTCCTGTCCGTTAGAACCGGAGATTTATTCGGCGAGGTAATTGGAAGAAAGGAGTCGAGGAACGGAGGTGAATTTCCCATTTGAGGGAACTTTGTCAGCTGTCATGCAAACGTTCGGGCAAAACCATATTTTTTATCCCTTGTGACTGAAACAATGAATGTCATTTTTATGAATGGCGGAAGCATTCTACCTTTTTTTTTTTATTTGGAGGGGCGGCAACTGTCTCATTGACAGACGGTTGCCGGTGACTCATTTCTGCTCGACTTCCTTTCCTTCCTGTGTCCGTTTCTCACCCCTCAAAGTGTGCGTGCTGCGTGCGGAGCGCCCAGGTGCTCAGAATGGTCCAAAATACGCTTCAAAATGCTTCAATTTGTCACCATGGGCGTCTGCGTATCAATAGCAACCACACTTTACCTAAATCTCTTATGACCACAAACCACTTTTTTTTTTTTTAACTTTGTTTTGAGCACAAAGTGTGTTATTTGAAATATTAAGTGCGAATAGTGTTACCCTTTTGTTTATTCATAGCAGAATAGAATCTGATTTTTTTCCTTTTTTTTCTCACAACTGACAATTCAAGTGTGTATAAAAATGATTGTCAAGATGGCCGGTAGCTGACTTGAAATGTCGAGCTTTGCAGCTTTCAGACGCTTGAGACGGTCAACCGCGTCCACCTCAACACGGCAAGTAGAAGGGACGCAAGGTGGTTTCTTTTCCCTTTTCTTTCCGCTCCTTCGACTTTTCAGAATCAAATCTTTCTTCATCACGTCTTCTAAAAACACACTGTGAATTTGCCATTTGGGGTGGACTAATATCCAATAAAATATACAAAGTACAGAACGTATTTTGGAAATAAAGATGGAGGATCGACAGCAGAGATGTGCAATAAATTATGGAATCATTTGCTAAGTGTAGTGTAAGTTAAATAAATACAAGGGTTGGGGTAGTATTTCCTGTTGTATACCAATGATTGTGTTTTTAAAATAATGATTATTTCATGGGTTTTCATGAAATATTCATTTTTATTATGATGGCGTTATCATAGTCCCTTTTAAAAGTGTAAATCAGTTGTGGGAAATCTTTTCCCCGATATGCAGTTTCATAAAGAAGAAGAAGGTTCTTGGCAATTGTCAGAAAGATACAAATCAAGTGTTTTGGGCCTTTTAGAATTATTTTTTTGTTTCTTCTGTTATATACAATAAGCAATATTATCAGATGAAATCCTCTTGCCGGGTGGTGAATGGCCAACATGCCGCAGGTTGCCCCCCCCTCCCCCCCGCTTGAAGGAAATAAATAAATGGATGCCCAACAATTAAATTGTGTCATCATCATCATCTCATCCAGAGTGAGAAGAAAAAAGAATGGCAAGCAGGCATGTGGAGACGTGTTACGCTAACTTGAGTGAATATGCATATAAATAGACGTGATAATGGCAGTGTTGAAAGAATCTCGCGTGCGGGTTGGGAATTGGAATTTTTGAGTTGGTCATTTTTAAAAAGAGCCAAGCGGACAGGTGTACAGGTAGCAGGTGATGGGAGTGGGGGGGAGGCAATTAAAAGATGCTAACAATGGGAGACGGCATGATGGCATGCCAAGCGTCGGAGAGTCACCTACGCATTGAAAAGCATTTCAACACTCCGCTGAGATTGTTTGCCTTTTTGATCCTCCTTTGACCCACATGACACTGGACAAGTCATTAGACAAAAACTTTACAAAGAGAATATTGGTTTAAAAAAAAAAATCAATCAATATAAATAATGAATTTTCTATTGGGGCCTCCAGTGGTACTGTTTCTAATATCTTTACACGAGTTGGTTGAAATATTCGAAACAGATCTCGCAGTGCTGCAAATATAGGCGTCATTATAAGGAATGTTCAATTAGATTTGAAAAGAGAATTCTTGTTTTTAAAGGCAGAAAGACTTTCAATGGAAACGTACTTCTCAAATATTCTTAAATTCTAAAAAAAAAATATTCAAATGTATGTTTTTACAAACTCAATTCATGATCCTTTTTGCCGAATGTATCATTTTGGTCTTATTCTTTCTGAGCTGTAATTTGTAATTATTTTGGTAACGTTTCATACAGATCACATCTCATATAAATAATAATAAATCAACTGCTCATAGACAACTTTCATATTTCTAGATATTTAAAATATTTTATTATTTGGATTAAATAAACATTAAAATATTTTTAATCACATTTTGGCAATATTTATTCTGAATATCCAGGTCCATATTTTATTTAGCTTTTTAAAAAATTATTATTAATATGATGGTGAGGATGATTATTATTATTTGTATTAGAATGATTATTAATTGGGCCAAAGAACGGAGCCGCAAGGACCCAATTGAAATTGCCTACTTTCTACAAATCTTCTCGTATTGAACTCTGGCAACCAACCAAAGTCGCCTTTTTGGTTGGTTTTATTTCTTGTCATATGAATGATCATTTTCATGATGATTCTTCTTTGTGAAGAAGCCATTTTAGGCGCCCACCAGCTTCCGCATTGAAGCGTGTGGAGCGGCTTGGTGGCTTACAAGAAGAAAGACAAAGAAGAAGAAGAGGAGGAAGAAGCGGCCCCATCTTGATGTTGACTCGGGGGGTCCTGGAGCAGGGGGGGCTGGGAGGGTGGGTTGGACTTGGGATCAACATCACAAACATCTCAAGGTGTCTTGTCTTGTCTTCTTTGTGCTTGCAGCTCAAGTTCCCGACAATGACGAGCAGTTTGTCCCAGACTTCCAGACTGAAAACTGTGAGTGCGACCACCACTCTGTGTGTGTGTGTGTGTGTGTGTGTGTGTGTGTGTGTGTGTGTGTGTGTGTGTGTGTGTGTGTGTGTGCGCGCGCTTATTTGCATAGGGATGAATATTGTTTTTAGAGGATATTTTTAACATTGGGAGGGCCAAACTGAGTGTCACCTGATTTTCGGGGGAGGCAGTAAAAAGGGAGGAGGGTGTTTGGTTGTTGTTTTTTTTAAAATCCAGAATAGAAATGTTCTCATCTCATGAGACACCCCTCGACCTTTTTTTTTTTTTCCCCTCTCTTCTCAAAGTGCTTTTTGTGCACATCTTCCTCTAAATCAGGATTTTTCTTTTTCTTCCTTTTGGCCCCTCGCGAATGTCGTCGTTTTACGCTCCGAAAGCGCATTTGCTCGCAATGTGTCTAAGAATACTCGGGATGGAAATTGAAGGCACTGTGTTAGTCTCACCCGGTTGGTTTGCCATGCGACTTGGCGGTGAGGGTGGGGAGCTCAGTGGGGGACTGCCAGAGTGAGCACATGTCTTTGGGACAGGACGCCAACGTGAAACGACACCAAACGCCCCCACTTTTTCCTGATGTCCTTTTAACACAAAAGAGAGTCAGACAACTAAAAACAAAATATTATAGTTTTCGTCTTTGTCATTTTTGCTCCATGAGCTTTTTTGTTATTGCTGCATGTCCATACAGAAGAAGGTTGTTGAAGAAATGCAGTTTATTTTACTTTAGTACACAATGCTGTGTGACCGTTTTTTTTTTTTGCTCTCAAAAAACAGTATTTTTGAAGAAAAAAAAACTAAATCTAATCATAAAACTAAACTAAAACAAAGCATTCCTCGCCCCCAAAAACAAAAACTAATAAAAAACGAACTCACTTGCTTTGAAAATTAATTAAAACAAACCAATTTTTTTTTTCAAAGTCGAAATGAAATGAAATAAAAAATCCCCAAAACATGATTGCCTTATAAATCAGCCCCAACACCAGTTTCACCGGCCATTTGCAAACTTTGGTCGAGATTTCTATCAAAACAGCACCTGCAAAAAAAGTCTGAATGAACCTTTCTGAAATTGAACGGGAAGTCAGCCGCCATTTTGGTTGAAAGCAGCCATTTTGGACGAATTCCAAGGCGTGCGCTTTGACCAAAAAAATATATATATATATCCCCCACCGCAAGTTATACTGCGTGTCACACAATTAGATGGACATGTCTCTCATAACAGGACACATGAAAAAAGATGTACCCCAAAATTGAGCCATTTCCAATCCCGAATCGGTATCAAGTATCCGAAACAGATGTTTTGTTTTGTGTTTTTTTTCCCCTCACACAACTTTGTTCCTTGATACCTTTCGTACTGCATTAGCGTAGGTTAGCGAGAGACTACCACTGACACAATAACAACGTGGTCGCGTTTGAGGAATTAAGCCCATTTGCATAACTGTGATCCGAATAAGCGAAACCATGAATAATCATTTCGTTTTATAGTCTGAAATTAGATCAATATGGCCTTAAAAAGCTCCTACAAAGTCTTAAATTGGACTTTAAGCCTCTAAGTTTGAGCGTTTAACTCGGATGGAATTGAAGCAGGTTCATGTTGGCATTCCAGGCCCCAAAAAAACAATGGGTGGTCTTCTTCTTTTTTTTTCCTTCTAATATTTTTCCCTCTCAGTTGAACTGACACATCAAGAAGTTCAAGATGATTAGACTTTTAAAAAAACCACACACTTCAGACAAGCTGTTTTGAAACCACTTTTAGCATTTCTGACCCCTACTTTGAAAGGCCTCACTCTGATCTTGACTTCTTTACTTTGGTTTGATTGATTGACTGACAAAGAAAGCTTAAATAAAAGCGTATTAAAGCCATCATGCTTCATTTAGATCGAGCTTGCCCGACACGTTTTCAGCTCGAGAGCCCGGTCGTAAAAATATATCAGTCAGAACGTGCACATTTACCGTCAATAAACAACAATAGATGAATAATCCATCATTTTCATGTAAATATTTCGATTTCAACCATTTTTTGGGTAGATCCACCATAATTACGTAAGAATATTTGTATGCATTTCTGCTCCATGTATATTAGCGGAGCAGTTTTTTTGAAGGTTAATTACCGTTGCGTCAATGCTAGGTTTTGTTCGCCCGTGTGTGGTGTTTCACCTTATATCTTAGCATTATGCTAGCGGACCTTTGGCAGACCAAATTCTTTGGTTAGATTGAACAGTTTGAGATTTAAATATACAATGTTTTACAGTGGTACCTCTCCTTACGAAATGAATTGGTTCTGGAGGAAATTTCTTATCTGGAAAATTTTGTAAGTAGAGACCCGTTTTCCATGTAAATGCCCTAATCCGTTCCAAGCCCCCCCAAAATTCAGACATAAATGTTTCCTAAAGCATAAAAATGCATCAAAATATGAAACATGTTCCAATTAGATGATTGCACAATGCCTGGCATTGTGTAAAGAACTGATCCAAGGACATTTGCTTTTGTCGGCTTTTAACACTCCTTCACAAATGTTCAAGGCAAACACCAGCATAGTCAGCCATCGCCCGACTGGTGAACACATTTTTCTGGGTGTCAACCATCGCCCGACTGGTGAACACATTTTTCTGGGTGATCGGAATGCCCCATGGCCCGAAGGGGGAATGACGAGGATGCTGCATAGACACATCTGGTAGAGGTCCCTCTTAGCCAATGGGATGCCAGGAAGATGCCAGGTCATAGCCAATGGCAGAGCAGCTATAAGTGTGTTGCATTCAGGAAACTCTGAGCTGCAACTAGCAGCCCATGTTGTTTTGTATGTTTTGTTGTGCCGCGTTTGTTACGGTAGCTGTTGTCTGAAGTTTTATAATTCCGTCAATGCTAAATTGCGGCCGCCTGTCTCTGGGGGATTTTGAATCATATGCGATCATTAAACTAGCTGACTTTGGTGACGATATGATTTGATTTAAACATTGTGGTTTTCAAAAGTACATTGTTTAATTCTTCATTTTCTTTATTTTTGTTTCCTCAAAGTGATGCCATACGACAGTCTCGAGAATCAGAACGGTTGCTAAGTCATACTTTTTTGGAATGTATTTTAATTATTTGAAATGTTTTTGTGGGGTAAAACTAGATCGAAAAACGCTATAATCGGTGCTTCCGTGTTAGGCTCACTGCATTTGACAAAGTGAAAGCATGGATCAATGTCGACGAAGGATCTATGGATGGATCTGCCCACCGCTCTTACAAGCACTTATTGAGAAATACTTTGTCTTTGAATGTAAATCCCGCCTAAGAGGTCAGGGTGACGCTCCGGTTGTCCTTCAGGAGTGCTGCTGACCATCTGAGCAGCGGAGTTGGCACACTGGAAGGCTACTGACAGATGGCGCCATGGTTGGCCATCCCAGACGCCACCTCTCCCATATGGGTTCTTTATAGCACCGTCATGGAGGCCCGTGTAGACAAAGATGATGGATGGAACTTGAAAGGATGTCAACATACACAAAAATACTCCCAAAAGAAACCAGGCCATTGGATTAAAAACGTCCACCAGCTTCTATTATTTTAGTGAGGTTGCGTTTTTGTCTACCACAAAAACCCACCCTGCTCCTCTAAATACTTCCCAAAACCACAGCTTGAAAATAAACGAGTGCACAATGTGTACACTGTCTGTGTAAAATAAACCACATTGAATGTCATATTTATGAAAGGAAGGCTTGTTTGGAGTCTGATCTTAGAATTGAAAGTACAGTGAAACCCCGTTAAACTGGCGAGGTACAAATGACTGTGAATCTGCAACCTACAGTGAACAAACCATGTAGACACATTTTTGTTTTACCCCTCCCACACACTTTGAACACATTTCATCCTATTAAAAGACATTTAGACTTATTAAAAGACACCTTTTAGGGCTGTTCCTACGTTCTCCCTGACTATCCTCTAACATCATTTTGAAAAAATGAAAAGACTCTTGCTTGCACAGTTCTCCAAATAAGAGGGCAAACTGACCAAAGTTTGAGACTCCAAGTTGTAGTTCACTGTAAAGCCAACATATAAAACAAAAGAGAATTATATATTCAATATTCAAACACCAAAATGTTCAACCAAATCACGGCGTTTCATCAAATAAAAGTATGCTAGCCCAATGCTAACATATAATCGGAAACACCAGAGACGAGCTAACAAAAGTTTGTTTATTAACAGGGGTGCACTTAACAGTTTTGCTCTGTTTTTTGTTTTACCAATCCACCGACCTCACAGAGTGAAATTTCGGCCCCTATTTTCCTCGACAGGTGCATCTGCACTTGGCATAAAAACTGGTCCATCTTGATTTTCAGGCTTGGAGCAAGTCCAGTTTAGCGTGTTAGTGAATTTGGCGCTACACCTTGCTGGGCATTGCGGCGGACCGAGGGCTTTTTCTATTTATTACATGACCTGGGCGCACCTGTCAAAAGTACACGAGACTGTAGACCACTTGAAACCAGATCTAAGTTGTGGTGCAGTTGGTGTGATCCGATTCTGGTAGATGTGATCCATGCACAGGCAGACAGATTCTACGCTCCACTGATATGTGTGGTGGATTTCGTTAGCATAGGTGTTAAGTGTAGCATAAGTATGCATCAAATCCTCTGAATTGTTTTTGTCATCAATTCCGTGAATGCATGATTATTAGACGCACGATCACGGGTTGAAGGCGGTCTCCATGTGCCCACTTTGCAGCGGCCAATTTTAAATCACCGGCAAGTGGAGCTCTTTTTGCAGTTCCTTATAAACGTACATTGCACCATGAAGACTGTGCTGAATTTAAAGGGAATGAGGGACAATGTTTCAATGGGCCGGGAGTCAAGTCGGATGTGATCAGTCCCACAACGGCGCAAACGCCCATTTTTAACTGTGCCCGTCTACGAAAATGCCAAAACAAAGAAAGCTCCACCCACGTAAAAAATTAGACTGCACTTAGCACTGGGCACGAAAATGGACTTAGTCCTAAATCTGATTTGGTGCAGGTCGCCTGG